AACTCTCACCTCATGGCAGCCAAGAAGCAGAAACAGGAAATGAGGAGGGACAACACATACCTCTCGGGGCTGGAGAAGGTTCAGTGGCTATGAGCATTTGTTGTTTTTGTAGAGGATCTGGGCTCAATTCCCTGCGTCCACACAGCTTACAACCTTTCTTACCTGCAGTTTCAGGGCACCCTCTTCTGATCTCTGAGGGCAACAGAAACAAATGTAATTCATAGGTCTACATGCAAGCAAAACATTCTTATACATAAAATAAATTAAAAAAACCAAATCTTACCCAGGCAGCACACCTTTAATCCCAGCACTTGGCAGGCAGAGGCAGGCGGATTTCTGAGTTCGAGGCCAGCCTGGTCTACAGAGTGAGTTCCAGGACAGCCAGGGCTACACAGAGAAACCTTGTCTCGAAAAACAAAAACAAAAACAAAAACAAAACAAAAAACCCAAATCTAATATATATCTACCTAGTAGGCCCTACCACCTACTACCCCATTCAGTATGAAGTGATCTATGGACTAACCCCAGTGATGAAGTTAGTGCTTTCAATGGGCCAGCAGCTGTGGACCAAGCTTCCAACATATGGACCTTTGGGGGACACTTCATATCAGGACCATAAATACTAGATTAGTACTGACCATAATGTTTGTAGTTCTTCTATTGAGGGAAATGGCTCAGTAAGCCGGGCAGTGGTGGCACACGCCTTTAATACCAGCACTCTGGAGGCAGAGGCAGGCAGATCTCTGTTAGTTCAAGGCTAGCATGGTCTACAGAGTGAGTTCCGGGACAGCAAGGGCTATACAGAGACTCTGTCTTGACAACCAAAAATCAGATAAGGAAAAAAAAAAAAGATGGCTTAGCAGGTTCCTGATGACCTGTGTGTGATGCCTAGAATCGGGATGGAGGGATGGAAGGAGAGAGCAGCCTTGGCACACTGTCCTCTGACCTCCAACAGCAGGCAACAAAATAAAGCAGTTCTACTGGGCAGTGAGACATGGGTGAATTATTTTCTTCTGTTTCTATATTTTTCCAAGATTTCTACTATGAACATATATGGATCTATATCATTTTTTTTTTTAAATTACTGTGAGAAGGCTGGTCAGATGCCTTAAGAAATACAGACGCCTGCTGCCAAGCCTGATAACTCAAGTTCGATCCCTGGGCCTTACATGGTAAAAGGAGAGAACTGATTTCCACAGGTTGCTTTTCACCTCCACAGGCATGACGTGGCAGAAGCATGCCTCCCACCCCAAAACAAACAGTGAGATGTTAGTTAAGAAAAACTAAATTAGTCTGAGAACCGAGTGTGGTAAAGACAGAACTGGAGGATCAGCAGGAGGCTGAGGCGGGCAGAGAAAAACCAACCAACAAAATCCAACCCCCACCCCCACCCCCGCTCCAAAATAAAACCTAAATCATTAAAGGACCACTTAGCCAATCAGCATTCAAAGTCTGCCTTCGGTGTTGCACATTAAAAAGTTCAATTTAGCCGGGCGTTGGTGGCGCACGCCTTTAATCCCAGCACTTGGGAGGCAGAGGCAGGCAGATCTCTGAGTTCAAGAGTTCGAGGCTAGCCTGGTCTACAGAGTGAGTTCCAGGACAGCCAGGGCTACACAGAGAAACCCTGTCTCGAAAAAAACTGAAAAAAAAAAAAAAAGTTCAATTTAATCAGTGCATCCAGAGGGTATTATTTTAGGTAATTGACTTAAAAATAATCTCAGAAGAAACGTTAATTAGGTGAATATATAAACAGATTATACTGTATTAGTAGCTAAATCCCTTTCTAGGATAAATAATACTAGACTTTTTTTTAATGAACAAGCACAAAGCCAGAGAGCTATTATGTGAAAATTCAGGGGTCAGAGAGATGGCTCAGCAGTTAAGAGTACTTGATGTCCTTCCACAGGTCCTGAACTGTTTCCAGAATCCACCTGAGGCATTGCGCAACCTGTACCTCTAGATCAAGGAGTCTTGAAGCCCTTTATGGCCTCCTAAGGCATACTTCCCCCAAATACACACACACACACACACACACACACACACACACACACATCAAATAAACAAATGTGACTTAAGATTCAAATCTGGAAGTTTGAATTTAGTGTTCTTGAGTTTCTCTCCACATGTCATCCCTATATAACAAATGTAGACTAGTTAAACGGCAGTGTTAGATTGCTTCTAAATGATACTAAGCCACCCAATTAGCCATTCTAAGAAACTCCACAGATCCAGCTTCGGGGAACCAGCTAGGACCTTTGAGTGGACATTTTAAGGGGAGAAATAATTAGTCAGGTATAACACACCCCTTTAATCCCAGCATTCTGGAGGTAGAAGCAGGTGGATTCGTGAGTTTGAGGCCAGCCCGGTCTACACAGAGAGTTCCAAGATAGCCAGAGCTACAGTGTGATCCTGTCTCAAACAAACAAACAAACAAACAAACAAACAAATAAAAATAGCCAGGTACATATATTTGCCCCAGTTAGCTTTGTCAGTTTCACAAAGTGTAGAATGATCTGAGAGCAAAGTCTCACTCAGTGAGGAACTGCCCAAATCAGATTAGCCTATGGATCGATGTGGGAGGAACTGCTTTGTTAAGGGAGAAAGGGTGGCCCAGGCCCACTGTTGGCGGTTCCACTCCTTAGGCAGGTGGTCCTGGGTTGTGTAAGAAATCTAAGCATGAGCCTGAGGACTCCGGCAAGCAGCGTTTCTCTGTAGTTTTGCTTCAAGTTCCTCCCTTGGGTTCCTGCCCTGATTTTCCCCAATCACTGACTGTAAGTTATAAGTTGAAACAAACCCTTTCCTTCCCCAAATTGCTTTCAGTCAGTGTTTTATTACAGCAACACAACCGCAACAGAAAACAGAAGACTGATGCTTTACGGCCTATAGTATTATTTTGCTATTTTTGGCTTTATTCGGTCCTCTTAACGTGTATGGCAAACAAGACCTCCAGTTTTATCTTCTATTATTGTCATGGGGCAGTCCTGCCTAGAAAAAAGTCTAGGCCAAGTTTTAAGTTCTCTGTGATCTTGTCAAAGTCATGAATAACAGAAGCTATGAATTGGTGGTAACAGATCTGCATGTTCTCAGAATGAATTAGAAGGACACGATGTCCTGTATGGCCTACCTCTCATTTACCTTGCCAGCCTTCTCCCTCTCTCTGTAGAAGTAGGCAACGCAGTTTTCATTTGAGGGTGGCTGCCTTATTTTACCTGAACACCAACTTTCTAAGTGCACGTCCTTGACGTATCTGAAAGCATGCCGCCAGTCAGACTGCATTAGGGCTTCATCTAATTGCCTCAGTTTGACTTAATCAACTCTTTTTGTTTTGTTTTGTTTTTGTTTTTCAAGACAGGGTTTCTCTGTGTAGCCCTGGCTGTCCTGGAACTCACTCGGTAGACCAGGCTAGCCTCGAACTCTAGAACTCAGAAATCCACCTGCCTCTGCCTCCCAAGTGCTGGGATTAAAGGCCTGCACCACCACCGCCCGGCTTAGAGTCATATTTATTTTAGCTTGAACCAAACATACTTCATTTGAACAAAAATCTCACCTTTTTGATGCAGACAGATGGCACACTGTATCACCTTGTGATGTGCTATAATGACCCAGGGCAGAGCTGTCTCTGTTCTGTTACTCTGTTCCAGTTTATGTTACTTTCTCCTCGGCAATTAATTCAACATTTGACACCCAGTGACTTAAAATATATGTTTTCTGTTATAAATTGTACGGGATCTTGCTTTCAAAGCGCAAATAATGGGTTAAAGCTTTTTTTGTGTGTGATAAAGTCTGTACCCCAATATTGTGTAATTGCTGTGAAAGAAAATCACAGCGGGTTCAGAAGCCTAATTCAGAGTAGAAAGACCAGTTCTCAAGGCATTGTGTACATAAAAAAAACAGAACAAAACAAACCACTTCACTTTAAAAGGCCTGAACTAGCCTTAAGATTCTTACAATACTTGGTAAGCCTTACTTTTCAGCAATTAAAGTATTACAGTCACTTTTGAACGAAGCTTTAGAGCACAAAAAGCATTTTTTAAAAGTGGCGGGAACACACTGCGGTTCCCATTAGACCAGTAAATAAAGAAAAAAAAAAAAAATGTTGTGACCCCGACGTGATTCGAACACGCAGCCTTCTGATCTGGAGTCAGACGCGCTACCGTTGCGCCACGAGGTCCTGCTGGGCTGTGGCTCGCGCGGTTTCTTAGGAGTCCGAAAACATGGCGGTTGAAGCACGCCTCCTACACTCCTGTCTCTCACTCGGGAGCTGGCCGAGCCGGAGCTGGATCACTCAGCGCTGGACTTTCGTTCTCCGTCTAGGTTGGGAGATAACCAGCGGAGGCCGGAGACTAGCTCCCGTCGGATCCGCTCGGCCGAGTCGAAGGAAACCCGCTCTTCCTCTCCTTCCCGGCAGCCACTTCCGCTGCGGCCGCCCCGCCCTCGCCCGTTAGGGGCGGAGACGCCGTCTCCCCTCCTCCACGCGATCTGCGCGCCGAGCCTCCGACCTCCCTTTGTAATCTGGCGGGATCCCACTGCGCACGCGCGGGCCTGTGCCAAATGGCGCCCGAACTCCAGCGTCCGTTCCCGCTGAGCGCCCGCGCTACCCGGGCCAAAAGCACTAGGCGTTTTCTCTTAAGAGACGGGTTTTCGTCTTACAGCGAGCGTTGAAACTTAAAAGCAATTGTTTTGAAAAAGACACAGGTTTTGGTTTACAAAGGATTCTTCACTTTGATAGAGATGTCTTGAGACTGGTACCGGCCAACAAAGAAATAAAAGCTTACAACCTCCCCGTCGGGGAATTGAACCCCGGTCTCCCGCGTGACAGGCGGGGATACTAACCACTATACTAACGAGGAGCTGTTAGTAAATTGTCTTCTAGGTACTACTTCAAGGAAAGATAAGGTTGTTTTGGGTTTTTTTTGGTCTTTTTTTTTTTTTTTTTTTTCTCCCTGGGTTGCAGGTTCTCAGGGACTGAGGATTCAATATTGGACTTCTTGGAATGGGCTGTTGCATGTCGCTGGTTCTTTCTCTGTAGAACAAACTACATTTCCAAGGCAACGTTAATGAACGACGTGAAAATATCTTAGCAGAACTCTAAGCTTTCCAAATGTTTCAGTCTTTTGTGTTTGAGTTAATCTTGACAAAGGGCAAATGAGTTGAGATCCTCACAAATTCGTCTATTCGATCAGAAGTTGAAGTTCAAGTGTATGGTGCCAGATCTCTAGTATGGTCAGAGAGGTTCCGAAGCTGTGTGTCTTCAAACGGTTCGTCAGCGCTCATGACACAAAAGGATCTGTGCTTTTGATGAGCTGTTTTCAAATGAAATTTTACTGACCGCCTGACTTTTCCTATATCCCCGTCTAAAGGTGTCTACAACTTAAAAAAAAAGGACAGAAGCAAGCTTTAAATGGCTAATACTGCAGTTAAAGAATTAAAAACAAAAGATGTGCTATCGATTAACATAGAGCTGTAAAAATACAGCTACAGGACCAACAGGAACATTTATGCTATACTAAGCCATTTTATAAATAGAATGGAGCCATTCCCCCGGAGGAACAAGGACGACAAACTTTTTTTGTCACCAAGAGCACTTACACAGCCATAGGTAAACACACATGGCTGACAAGGATTTAGGAGATATTTGGAACGTACAGTGTACCAGACGTTGTATTAGATGCAGTGGGAGACCTTCACGGGTAAATCTCGGTCTTATGCTATGTTATAGTAGGAGCAAGGCAGACAGTTCCAATATCAATATTAGAACTTTCACTCGTGTATCTCAAGGGGTGTGTTAAGAACTGTTGCATTTTTATAGATCATAAGTTATATGGTAATTAAAAAAAACTGGTGCCAGGGTTGTTTAATATAGACAGAAATGGCAATTTCAGAGGTGTGTTTTGGCTTTTTTTTCCCTTTCACCTCTAACTCTATTAACTTCCTCCAACCCCGCCACTCACACCCAATATCCTGTAGCTTCTGTCCCTTGCTTATTCTCCAATAACTCTTCTGAGGTCCAGAAGGCCCCGTGGTAACTATGGTGATGCCCTTTTCTGGATGAGTTTAAGGGACTTGCTTGCCCTAGGTCTTTTAGTTGGCAGAGCTACAAGGAAGCCTGAACCCAGGTCAGCTGAATCACCTGTTTGCCCTGCTCCGTAAATGGGAGAAGAGGCACTCACTGCCTGCTTCACCGGTCTTGGCAAAGCTATGCCTGTGTTCCGACACATATGTTACTACTTACTCCCTGGAGACGCTAAGCAGGAGCCTGAGTCAGCTTGGATCAGGGAACACGCCACTCAGCACCTGCTGTCTCTCTTCCTAAAATGGAAAGGGAAAGCTGGTCATTAACCTGAACTGGGTATGGGAGATTCCTCCCTGTCAGCATTGGGAGAAGGAACAGGTTACAAAGGCCGGCCGGCAGTACAGAGGACACTCGGTGCTCTGTGGGGGCAGATAGCCTAATGGCAGTTGATTCTGGTAGCTTCAAATCTTGGATAGTTAGTAATCATGTCTCACAAGATGATTCACGCTCATCTCAGCAGCCTGTGGGGTGACTAGGGCCGAAAGAGAATCTTAGGCAGAGTGACCAAAAAGCAAGTTGGGGAAGAAAAGTTTTATTCGGCTCACACTTCCAAATTGCAGTCCATCATCAAGGAAGTCAGGACAGGGTCTCACACAGGGAAGGAACTGATGCAGAGGCCATGGAGGAATGCTGCTTACTGGCTCGCTCAGCCAGCTTTCTTATAGAATCCAGGACTACCAGCATAGGGTTGGAACCCCCCGACAATGGGCTGGGTTGGCCCCCATGAATCACTAAGAAAATCTTACAGCTGGATCTTTTGGAGTCGTTTTTTTTCAACTAAGGGTCCCTCCTTTCAGATAACTCTAGCTTCTGCGTCTAGCCGACATGAATCTAGCCAGCACAGAGAGTGAGGAAAAGCTGGGAATCATACAAGCATTGGCAGCAAGTCCTCTGCAGTTTTCCTCTGATGCTTAGATCCATGTGCTTGTTAAAAAGTAAATACCAGCTATGAAGGGGAAAATGTATTACTATTATATGTGTTTATACGACACATGCAACATGCTTGCTACTACGTTATTATTGACTAATTAGCTATCACAGTTGACAGGCAATATATGGTATATTCATGTACTGAACTTACAGTGTGCCAGACATCGTATTAGATGCATTGGGATATTTCAATGGGTGAACCCTGTTCTTGTGGTGCTTATATTGTATTGCCAGGCAGACAGTCAACAATAGAGTAACACGTCAGACATCAGTAAGAGCGGAAATTCAAAGTAACAGAGTTAGAGAGTGGCTAGTTCAACAGGTGTGATAGGTGGAGGTAAGCTTGGTTAAGATGTGAGTACTGGGGCTGGTGAAATGACTCTGTGGTTAAGAGCACGCATTGCTGTAGTGAGGACCCCAGTTTGCTTCCCAGCACCCACATCAGGTAGCGCACAAGCATCTGTAACTCCAGCTCCAAGGGAACCACTGGCCTCTTCTGGCCACTGTGGGTACTGCACTCATGTAGACATATATACGTAGTTAAAAAAAAAAAAGCCGGGCAGTGGTGGCCTTTCATCTCAGCACTTGGGAGGCAGAGGCAGGTGGATTTCTGAGTTCGAGGCCAGCCTGGTCTACAGAGTGAGTTCCAGGACAGCCAGGGCTACACAGAGAAACCCTGTCTCGAAAAACCAAAAAAAAAAAAAAAAAAAAGACAAACATCTTACCAAGAAGAAGACGTGACCATCCCAGAACATGGAAGGAGAGGATGTGAGGAGTGTCAGGAAATGCTGTGTTTAGATGGGAAATGAACTCACAGCAGCTGCGCCTACCTGCATGGAGCTGGTCCAGACTGAGGCTGCCTGTGTTCCACCCTGTCAGGGAAGGAGATTCATATTCCCCAGTGATAAAGCCACCAGTAAGTTGTCCCTGTCCAAATAAATAACCCTCCAAGTAAATAACCCTCCACTCATGCTTATGCAGACAACCCTAAATCAATGTGCAGGTGGTGTAAAAGGGGAAAGGAGAGAGAGAGAGAGAGAGAGAGAGAGAGAGAGGGAGAGAGAGAGAGAGAGAGAGAGAGAGAGAGAGAGAGAGAGAGAGAGAAAGGGCTTGGTGGGAGGGGATAATAAAGGGAGACAATATCAAAGTACGTTATATATGTGTGTATGAAATTGAATGGAGTTGAAGAGTTTTTGTTTTGTTTTTGTTTTTTTTCGAGACAGGGTTTCTCTGTATAGCCCTGGCTGTCCTGGAACTCACTCTGTAGACCAGGCTGTCCTCGAACTCAGAGATCCACCTACCTCTGCTCCCAAGTGCTGGGATTAAAGGCGTGCGCCACCACCGCCCGGCGAAAGAGCTTTTAAGAAGTGATTATTTGCACAAAAGTGAAGACACTAAGTGTGTCTTGTCAATATGACAAGGTTATATAGTGAGACTCTTAAAACCCACAAGACAAGAAAAAAGAAATTTGTTTGTTTGTTATTATTTTGTTTTTTTAGAGACAGGGTTTCTCTGTGTTGTCCTAGCTCTCCTGGAGTGCATATTTAGACCAGGCTAGCCACAAACTCAGAAATCTACCTGCCTCTGCCTCCCAAGTGCTGGGATTAAAGGAGTATACTACCACTGCCCAGCTAATTTTTTAACATATCTTATTTTTTTATATGCCCTACTATTCACTCTTAAGAGATACTGTGAAGGGAAAAAAATAAATCAGGTGAAGGCAAGGTAAAGTCACATATGTAAAAGAATATGACCTGGGCATGGTGGCATAATCCCAGCCTTTGTGCTCCTTGATCAAACACTTTGATCAAAAACAACGCAGTGAAGGGGGGCTTGTTTTATCTTACATGTCCAAAGGATTGTTCCTCATTGAGGGAAATCAGGCAGGAACCTGGCAGCAGGCTCTAAAGCACAAACCAAGGATGAATACTGCTTACTGGATTGCTTTCTGCCTCCCTGCGTAGCTGATTTTTTTATATATCAGCAGCCCACCTACCTAGGGATGGCGCCACCTACTGTGGGCCCGGCCCTCCAACATCAATTATTAACCAAAATCTCTCCTACTTGGGGCCATAGGACACTCTGGTCAAGGTAATTTTTCAGCTGGGATTCCTTCTTCCCAGATAACTCTAGGTCTGTGTTAGGTTGACAGTAGAAACTAGCATTGCAATATAACATGATGGTTTATATATTTATCTTTTAAAGACATTGTTTTACTTGGGCTGCCCTCCCAGAGGGCCTGGGTTCTATTCCCAGAGCTCACACGGTGACTCATAACTCTGTCTGTTACTCTAGTTTTGGAGATCTGATGCCCTCTTTCTTGTCTTATACCTAGCCCAACCAAAATGAATGAATGAATGAATGAATGAATGAGTCACTCCACCCTTTACCATGACACACCACCTGAAGAAGATCAGATGTCTTGGGGACTCATGCTCTCTTCCCTGTCAGATTGGGAGTGGTAGTGGTGGTGTCAGTTTTCAAGATGTTGAGAAAGACAAATTCATTTTGGGTATGTGAATGTGGGATGGAATAATTTCTACTTTTCTTTGCTCTTTGTTTCTTTTAAAAGCAAAGCAAGAGGAGAAACAAAAAAACAGAAAAAAAACAAAAAACAAACCAAACAAACCAAAACCAACCAACCAAGCATCAACAAAAATAATCCTGCTTGAGAAACCCTGTCTCGGAAAAACCCAATCCCCCCCGCACCCCCCCCCCCAAAAAAAAAACCCTGCTTTATTCCTGCTTCTGGTGCAAAGGTCAAGTATGATTTTCAAGTTGTTTGTGGGTCTGAAAAAAAAAAGCTGTCTGTAGCATTTCTGAGATTTTGTTCTCTTTTACCAGCAAAATGTTGTCACAAGAGTTTACCCATGATCAGCCAGGTGTGGCAGCTCACATCGTTAATCCCAGCATCTCAGAGGTTGAGGCAGGAGAATCATCTGGATTTCAGGCTGCCTTGGCTACTTGGAGGGCCCATCAGACAAAGATAAACAAGCAAGCAAAAACCCATAAAGTAATGCACACGACCTAGTCCGAAAATACCACGCAGTCCGACTCTTTATGCATTTATAAATACTGAGATAAGTTGGAAAGAAAGCTAGAAAAAAAATCTGTTTTGATCTGGAAGCCGGGTGGTGGTGGTGTACACCTTTAGCCTGATGTACATTGCGAATACTAGGGCAGCCAAGGCTATACAGAGAAACGCTGTCTCGAAGCCAGTGAAGGGGTGGGAAAGAAAAGAAAAAGATGAATAACGTTGAATGTAAAAAGAAGGGGGGGGGGAGGGAGGAGGACATGACTACTCCAAGGTACGGCTGAGGAGGTTTATTGTGGATACGAGGGAGAGCACAGCCAGAGGCATCTGGAAGTGTCCGGACTGCATTGGGTCAGCAGAGTGAACCGGGTTATGAGAGGAATGAGAAGGGAGGAGAACGAGGGGAGAAAGAGAGGAGAGAGAGAGAGAGCAGGAGAGGGGACCAGGACCCAAGAGAGCCAAGCGCACCAAGAGGGCACGAAAATGCCTGAGTTGTATAGAGAAGAGGAGCTGGGGGAAGGGAAGCGAAGCTCAGGTGCTGGAGGGGTTTAGGGTCCGGGGTAGGGGTCAGAAATGCTGAGAGGAGCCAGGCCAGGCCTCTGCAACAGGTAAGGTAGCAGAGATGCTGAGAGATGCTGGGAGAACCAGCCGGCCAGCATCCGCTTTGATATGTTAATAGGCACCTCAGCCCTTTGTCCTGTGTTTCTTTGAGATCTTAAAAAACAGTGCCGATCTGTATTTCCGAATTTTCTACTAGATGCCTGTTATTATCCTGAACTGAACAGTTCACGGTTACTAATATTAGGCAAAACAAACAGCTCAGGTGTCCTTCCTTAGCTCTCTGGTTTTGTGTTTTTGTTTTTATTCTACTGTGATTCTTTGTTCTTGTTTCCTCATTATTGCGCAGCTTAAACTGTTTTTCTAATCCTCAGCCTGGCAAAGAAGGAGTTAGGGCTAAGGCGAGTGAGGAATTGAATCCAACGCTGGGCGGGTGGCTTTTCCCGGTGTCCCTTTGTCTCAAAGCCCAGTGTTCCCGGTCTTTTGTTCTCCGCAGCCAGCAGGATTTGAGATTTAAAGAAAAACAAGAGCCGAGTCTCCTCGCGCCCTCTGGTGTCCCAACGAAGTATAACCAGGTAAAATCCACAAACATCGCGGCCATTTCACATAACGGAGGTGCCCAGAGAGAGGAGAACGTCCGGAATCTTGGATGAATCACATACCAACAGAATTTATAAGTGTGGATACGGATTAAAACGAACAACAGCAACAACAAAAACAACAACAGTAACAACAGTGCCTGCGATGCAGATATTTAGACTTGTAGGAGCTGGGATCGTCGCTTTTGCCTCTGCACGTGCCAAGCAGCTCTGGGATTGATCCCCACTAACGTTAAACACAAAACAAAACTCAAAACCTAATAGTAAACGACTCAGTTCTCTCTCAAAGCACTTGGCAAAGGCTTATGGGTACTAGAACCAAGAAAGTCAAGAAAATCCAACGTAAATCACTATTTTACCAATTCTTTTTCTCCTTTTTTTTTTTTTTTTCCAGACAGGGTTTCTCTGTGTAGCCCTGGCTGTCCTAGAACTTGCTCTGTAGACCAGGTTGGCAAGATCCTCCTGCCTCTGCCTCCCCAGTGCAAAGATTAAAGTCGCACACCACCATTCCCACTGCAACATTTTTAAGCCAGCAACATCTCTAAAGCTATACATTGGAGTAGGAATAGAAGCAGAATTTTCTTTTTTTCTCTTGATTTTTTTTTTTTTGTTCGTTCATTTGTTTAAATTTTATTTGGGGGTGGGGAGGGGGTGGAGTCTAGAGAGATAGTTCAGTGGATAAAAGCACTGACTACTTACTCTTCTAGAGGACCCAGGTTCAATCCCTGCACCCACATGGTAGCAGACAACTGACTGACTCCAGTTCTAACAGACATACACACTGGCCAAAACCAGGTAACACATCAGATAAAAATAAAAAAATCTAAAAAGTTTTATTTATTTATTTGTTTTGCTTTTTTTTGTTTGTTTGTTTTTTTTCGAGACAGGGTTTCTCTGTGTAGTCCTGGCTGTCCTGGAACTCACTCTGTAGATCAGGCTGGCCTCGAACTCAGAAATCCGCCTCCCTCTGCCTCCCAAGTGCTGGGATTAAAGGCGTAGGCCACCACCGCCCGGCCTATTTATTTATTTTTTTTTATTTTATGTATTCACCGTTGCTTTCTTCAGACACACCAGAAGAGGGCATCAGACCCCCATTACAGATGGTTGTGAGCCACCTTGTGGTTGCTGGGAATTGAACTCGTAACCACTGAGCCATCTCCCTAGCCCATCTAAAAAGTGTTTTAAAGTTTGGCTGTCCTGGAACTTGGTGTGTAGACCAGGTCAACGTTGGTTGAATTTACAGAGATCTATCTGCCTGCATCTGCTCCTGAGTGCTGGGATCAAAGAGTATACCACCACACCTAGCTGGCAAATTTTTGGTTTAAATGTTTGGTAGGTAAGATTATAGCAATTAAGTGGCACCATAGTTGTATTTTGATAAGCAACACAACACAGACATAATGAAATTCAAAAAGTACCAAAAGGTATGCAGATAAAATTTTTCTCTACACTTCTCTCAGCTGACGTCAGGGTTGGCTTGGCAGTTCACCAAGGTCTTCAGAAGATTCCAGTTTGTCTTAGTTTCCTTCTTTGCGACTGTGTTAAAACACCCTGACCAAAGCAACCTGGGAAGGAAGGGGTTTATTTGGTTTAGAAGTTATGGTCTGGCCGGGCAGTGGTGCTGCACGCCTCTAGTCCCAGCACTTGGGAGGCAGAGGCAGATTTCTGAGTTCGAGAATTCGAGGCTAACTTGGTCTACAGAGGGAGTTCCAGGACAGGACAGCCAGGGGTACACAGAGAAACCCTGTCTCGAAAAACCAAAAAAAAAAAAAAAAAAAAGAAAAAAAAAGAAAGAAAAAAGAAAAGAAGAAGTTATGGTCTGTTTTTGAGGGAAACCACGGCAGGAACCCCAAGGAAGGAGCTGATGCAGAGGCCATGGAGGGGTTCTGCTTATTGGCTTGCTCTCTATGGCTTGCTCAGCCTGCTTTCTTATGCAACAAGACCTCCTACCCAGGGGTGGCTCCACCCACCATGGGCAGGGCCCTTTCCATATCAGTCATTCATCAATGAAATGCATAGAGGTGCCCACAGGCCAATTGGTGGAGG